GATTATTGTTGATTAGTAACTAACTCTTACAGTTAGTAAACAACCCGTAATAAAGTAATTCTATGTACAAATTTCCAAAAATTCCAAGACATACGTATGTAATTTGTTATTGCGAATAACTTTACTTAATATATAAAAAATAGTTTACCTTGTTAAAAATTATTTTTAAAATTTACAAAAAACATCAGTCAAAAAAATTTTTTTAAAAAAGTTTTATTTTCAATATTAAAAAAATTTTGCTAAATTATACTTTTTATATATAAAAATTATATAGATGAATCATTTTTTAGATTTTTAACCTATTCTTTTAAGTGTACTGCCAGTAGAATAAAAGTCTAAATTCTATCTATTAATATTACCAGAATTTCATTACAAGTTAAGATAAAAAAACTTTGCTGAATTATATTTTTTATATAAAAAAAATTATATAGATAAATCATTTTTTAGATTTTTAACCTATTCTTTTAAGTGTACTGCCTGTAGCATAAAAGCCTAAATTCTATCTATTAATATTACCAGAATTTTCATTGCAAGTTAAGATAAAACAATCTTTTTAGAAATTATTTGCTATTTAAGTGACTGCAGTGGTCATATAAGATTGTATTAGAATTTTTATAATTTCTCTGAGTTGCATAAAAGGTTAAGTTAATTAATATCAGAATTACTTAAATATTTTTGTTTAGAGCTTGTTATTCTGGTAATAATTAAATAGTATTGTAATTATTGTAATTTTTATTATGAATTACTATAAAAATTCTGTTACAAACTAAAATACTTTTATACAAAGTTTGCTTGCTATTCTAATAAACACAATATGTGGTTAAGGTTGAGTTAGTTTGTGTTAAAATTATTTTATAAGTTACTATAAAAAAAAAAGCTCACAAAATTTGCTTACTATTCTAATAATAATCACAATATGTAGTTAGTTAAAATTAAATTAATTTGTCTATAATTATTATGGTTTTATTATTAGTTACTATAAAAAATTCTACTTCAAACCTTACTACTCAGATGATACATAGTATATAACTTACTAACACATGCTATTAATTTAATCTATATCTCAGTTAACTTAATATCTACAAAATATATATAATAAATAAAAGTAGACTCTTAAAAATCTTAGATGACAACTAAAATATAAATAAGAATAACTAGTCATTTATATATTCATGTTTCAATTAATTATTAATTCCAGATCAATTATAAATAATAATAATCCTGTTATAATATTAATCATACAAATGATAAAATAATTATATTTTAGCAATAATTATAATTCTTATAAAGTTGGCTAATTTAATACAACTAATCAAATTTTATTGAGAGTATGTCAGTATAATAAGATATTATTTTATAATATTAGAAATTATTGTTTTTGCCAGTAGCAGTAGAAATACAAAAGAAAATTTAGCCTCAAACTAAAATTAAATTAGTATATATTACAAATATTTAATTTTGTAATATTAACTTGTATTAAAGATTTCAAGTTTTATAGTTTATAAAACATGGTTTTAGATAATATATATAGCATATGTTATATAATAGGATTATTTTTATACTATAAAAAAAATTGTTAATCAAATTCTATATATTGTGATGATTGCAAAAATTAGAAAAAGAGGGCTTAATATTTTTTATGAACTGTATTGCTTTTAAAAGTTCTTGCTTATGAAATAGATTAATTTTTTTAATAAAATCATATAATTAGGATTATAAAACAAGTATTATTTTAATAAATTAAAAATTATTTTATTTAAAAGCTTTACTTGATAAAGTTAATTGTATTGTATTTAATTTTATTTTTTGTCTATAATATGTTTGCACCTTTAACCCAAATAATTTGGGATTTACTAGGCCGATTTTAATGATCTAACCACCATTAGAACCAGAAAAATTTTCTCTACAACTTTATTTAGAGTTGGAAGAAATGTTTACTTATTAAAAATTTCTTTAATTTTTAAAACACTAACTTTAGCTTCAATTATTCTAATTTTAACCCTAAAGCTAATAAGTAAATATTTCTTTCAACTCTAAGTAAAGTTGTAGAGAAGAGTTTTTGGGTTTAATGGTGGTTAGATCATTAAAATTGGCCTGGTGGATTCCAAGTTATTTGGGTTAAAGGTGCGAACATAAGCATTATAAACTATAATAGTTTGTGTAACAGTGAATTTGTAGATCTGTATGTTTGTGCAACCCATGGTGGAAATAGCAAAATACCATGGTGAAAATAGGCCATCTCTTTAAATTATTCTGTCAAAATGAGCTAAAATTAAATTTGATTTAGCAAAAATTTTTTTAACAAATTATTAATAAAATAAATAAGGTACATGATATGTAATTTATTATAAATAGCAAAAAATAACTAATATTATTATAGCTACTAAAGTAAATAGAATTATCAGACAGATACTATGTAAACACTGACAGAAAAATTTCACATTATTTCCGCAATAAAATCATATAACAAATTCTTATTAATTTTAATATAAAAATCTGCGGAAATAATATAAAATTCTTTCCGTAAGTGTATGCCAGATAAACTAATTATTTGGCATGATATACGAATCATGGACATCGGCAGTATAATTGCAATGCACGAGACCTTCGGCCACGTGATTTTGCTATTACCTTGCCGATACTGCCAGATAAGTACTAGTTATCCGTTGTGTTTTGATTGATAACTGATTATTCACTAGGACATTTACTATGAAAAATCAGGCATCAATCACTAGAACTCGACTGATAACTAAGTTATCCGACATGTCGACGTAAACATTGAACGATTTTTGTGTAAGTTATTCGTCCACCCCCTAATACAAATACACATATTTTCATCACCTCTGTAAGAGGTGATGAAAATTTGTGTATTTGTATTAGGGGGTGGCCGAATAACTTACACAAAAATCGTTCGGTGTTCACATAAGACATGTCGGATAACAAGAAATCATTGTATAAGCAGTTCTATTTTTTATTTAAACAATAAAGCACTAATAGAAAGAATTAACTGCAGGACCAACAGTAGCAAGCGCACAGGCATGAAAAACATGATAATCATCGGTAATATTTCCAACAGTAACTCTAATTAAATATGGATCAGGTAAATCAGGAGTGAAAATAGTTTTTGTTGTCATCGGAAATGGGATTCCAGCATCACATGATTTGCCGAATGTTCTACCGAAGATGTCAGTTATATAGTTTCCTGATAAGTTTAGAAAAGTAACTCCAACAAAACTTGTTTCTGTGATGATATTATTTTTTGTCAATGTTCCGGATACATTAAATTCAGCGTATTCTCCATTAACAAGAGGGTCAGGATTCATTACCACAGTAATCTTGGCCAGAATCTTTAGGACAAGGGTTGAAGGTGGTAGCTCTTTAATTAAGTTGAAATGGAACTGCATTTACAGTAAGAAAAATAGCAAATAAACGGAACACAAAAATAAAAATTCTTCATGATTTCTTAGCGAATATATAGGAATTTTTTTGGGAGTTTTTTTTTAATTCAGATGTTTTTTCCTTGGTATGATTATTGATAACATGATGTCCTTTTTATAAGAAAAAAGCAGTCTTCGAAATCCATGAAAATCCCACACTTTTGACATTTTGAAAAAAAAATCTAATAAAGGGTTAAATTCATTACACTGATCTTCCATTTTATAGTATACGTTCATGCGCATTAATTATTGGTATAGTTCGGATGTGCGATATTATATCTATCGATTTACAATATACCGAGAGAATATCAATATGAATACATAGTAATCGGAAAGAAATCTTAATTATAAATAGTGAATAGAAATTTGGGATATAAAACATTTCTCATTAATTTCTTTGTAATGATTATAATAGTAAGCACAATTGAAATCAGCCATTTCTTCATATATTAAATTAGTTTGTAAGTATAATTTAAATAAAATTTTTCACTTTTTCGTAAGTTATATTATATGTTTATAAATTACTGCGACTTCAGAAATTAATAATCAGTAGTACTTTCATACATATGTTTATATATTCATATTGATTTAATCATTGTACCACCTCTCATTAAGTGTTATATTTAATTTAACTGACAAGCATAGCAATAATTTATTAAACAATGTATTTGAAACAATATATACACCTCTTATTGGTATATTATAGTGATGGACACCGCGCGTGATCCCGGTGTGATGCGCGAGATTCAAAAAAATCCCACATATGATAAATTGTATCCCTATTGACATCAACTTCGTACAAAAGGACATTTAATTTTGTGCAAAGTGAAATTCAATTTCGTACAAAATAATATTTAAATTTGTACAAAATAAGTTTGATCAAACCGTTATATGTTGTAATTTATTGATCCAATTTAGATTATTCTGGTACCATTTCGAATCCTCTCAACGAGATGATTCGAAAGATACAGTACCTAAATTGGATCACTAAATCACGAGATATCACAGTTTAATCAATGTACAGATTTGATTGTCATTTTGTACAAATTCAAATGTCATTTGTACAAAATTGAATATCATTTTAAACGAAATTAAATATCCTTTTGTACGAAATTGATGTCAAAAGGGATATAATTCGGGCAGTGTCATAAATCTGGCCGGGTTCCAAAATATCCGAGGCCGAGGTAAAATTTTGACACATTTCCGTAAAATTCCGAAATATAAAAAAATGGATGTCACATTATTTATTAGTTTACTATACATTGGATGCGCAAAGTGTCTTTTTTGTACAATTTCTAAAACTTAATGTAATTGAAAAAATATGTTTCCAACAAAAAAATTATGCTAAAACTCCCTATGCGTTTACTTTGAAATTTCATGCTCCTTTCGATAATAAACAAATCAATTTTCTAGAATTATTACATAATTCTTATAAGATTGAATTTGGTGCAATTTTTAAATATTCTTGCTCATCATGTAATTGTAAATCTATTTCTGCAAAATAATATAAAAAATATTTAAGAAATCGGAAATCATCGAATTCTTTTCTTTTTTTTTGATCTGCAAATTTCACATAACTTTGCAAACCGCAATAATTGATAAATCATTTCTTATTAAATTTCTTATGAAAATCCTATCAAAATCAAGATTTCATGTACGAACGCCAAACTTGAACTGACATTCCCGGTAAGTTTGTAAAAATTAATCGTGGCTAATTTATATATTATGATACTGATCTTCTGTAATCCCATTTTGATTATTCCACATCTTTTAGATTTAGGTATCAAACATAACTCAGAACAGATTTCAAAAATTCTATCATAAAATATTACCAAAAAACAAGCTTTTGTCTTAGCAAGGAATTTTCTTGCAAGATTTTAATTACCCGTTGATTTAAATGATGCTATAACAAAATTTGTGAAAGTTTAGACAAAAGTCCTTTTTATATTTCAATAGATTTACACGCATATTTAAAATAATGCAAGTTACTTTTCTAAATTAGTATCTAGGAAAATTTTAAATTATAATTTAAATATGATAAACTATCATAAATGAGAGAAGAAAATGACATTTTTCAACTTATAATCTGTTATTTACCAGGTTTGATCTTTAAAAATGGTAAACTTGAAAGTCCGAAGTTTCATTTTCTCTTGGTAGTACTCAAATGATTTCTATACATTTTGGGTTCATACATCTAATCTATCTTTCTTATCTCAG